GAATAATTCTACTAAGTTATAAATAAAAAGAAAATTTTTTCTTCATTTAATTATGGCAGACTCACCGCACACTACAAATCTGTGCAACTGTCAGATACCACAATTTGTGGAGAACCAAATATCTGATCATAACATCAAAAAAAATATGCAAAGCTTTTCTTTTCACGTTTTTTTTTTCTTTTTCTCAGAGAGGAAGGAAAGTAAAGACAGCCGATAAGTTCAGTAAAATATTACAGAAGTGATGAATTTATCAGAAACAAAAAATATTTTTATACAAATCTTACTTTAGTTGAGAAGCAAAAGTACACAGTTCCTTCTTTTTCTTCTTCTTCTTTTTCTTTTTCTTTTCGTCTGGATACGTTGAAACGGTGACGTCCAACAAATTTTTTTTCTAGAAACTCATCTATGAGCCAAAATTTACTTCAAAGAACAAACAAAAAGAAATCTGGGTAAACAATCAAGCAAAAAAAAAATTCAAGTCCAAAGCATCGATCACATGTGAACAAATTCTGAAAAGCAACCCACGTAAACATATGATTCAGCAGATACCAATAAAACGAAAATAAAAAAATAAAAAGTATTTTTTTGTTTAACCAAAGCATAAACTTGCAATGCATAAGTGAAAAATGAAAATTTTAACCTGAACTTTGATCCAGATAAACATCAAATAAGAAAAAGAAGAAAAAAAGCCTTCCGTTAACACTGTTACATGCTTTGTTGACAACAGTAATTCATCAGCAGATAATGTACAATTTCTTTTACCCAATCAGTTGTCTTTCCAAACAAAGAAAAAGATAAGGTTGTTTCTTCTCTTTGTTACATTTAAAACAAATTATAAGAAACGTTAAAAATGAAAAAAAATTTCACACATTTTAATAACGAGTGTTAAAAAAGAACTTTCCACTTCATATTGTTTTCTGTTGCCGACATATCAACTATGAATGTATAACTCTGACCGAGCAACAGTCATTTACTTTAAGTGTTAACTTTAGATGCACATATTCCAACTACTAAGCATCTCAGAAAGAATAACACATCTGATGGGAACAATTAAGAATTATTATAGTGATAGATAAAGTGCAATATACATATAGTTGACATACAGATATTTTCCACTATACTACCGTCACGCATAAAAAAAAGCTAATTTATAACTATTTATATGTAAATACTAACATAATACCAATAGCGCGAATCAAATCAAATACTAAATCATGCAGTTCCGGCAATACTTCGGGTCAGTGAATAGCTGAAATGAACCCAGCTGGTCCGAAGACCCATAAGGCTTTAAAGTTGTTATACAATTTGAATTTCCCGCGCTAAGATTTTTTGAACTATTTGAATACAGTTTTCGGACGGAAAGCAATGTTTTCAATGAGTGCTCCGGCTAGAAATGCATAGCTTAGTCCAGATTTGATCTTCTTTTAGAATCTTATGTCACTTTTTTTGACATTTGATCACTGGTACTGTTATTTCAGTTATTTTTTTTTCAATGGATTTGTTATTTGTAATATTAGAAATTTATCCAAACAAAAAATTTTCTATTGAAATCTTATGGTACAAATTTACTGATCAAACTTGAACCATCAAACTTCAGAATCATTTCCAGTAAAACTCGTACTTCTAACTTTTATGAGTTTGTTTAACTTTAAATAGAAACCAATGGTCTTTGTAAACCATACAGTTTTTGATTTCTTTCCCTCAATTGTTTATTACCATCAAAGATTTGTAACATTTTATAAGGGCCATTCACCAAGAAATCTATCGGTTACGTATGGTTTGCGGCTCCCTCAGTGCAAAAATTTTGCCAAAAGTTACATGGTGTTTTGCAGAATTCAGCAATGACGTCAATAGTAGATTCTCATCTTGAAGATGCAATGAAAGCATATGCCCCGCTGTTTCAGCCACTAAAAGACTTGGCCAGAAACTGGACTGTAGATCTTGAAAAATGCTTAGAAGGTTTTGTTGAATGGTTAGTTTCAAACATCATATGAAATTTTTTCTGAACTTTTTGCCTTTTATGGCTCATAACTGATGTTTTAATTCTGCTGAAAAGCCTCATACAGTATTGTCCAGGATGAAACAAGTTCAAGAAGTAGAACGAAACAGTGGTGGTCACTTTAATTTTGCTCAAGCAGCTTTAGTGGTTGCTGGTGGGGCGGAAGTTTATGGTCGAAAGGTCGATTATGTTCATCAGTTAACGCTTGGTTTTTTTGAACAGTTGAGTGAAAAAGCGAGAAGGAGTAAAAAAGGTAGCAGAAAAATTTTTTTGCAGGGTTTACAAATTGTCTTTTTTTATCTGGTGGTTTACTTTTACTTTTTTGATTTTCAGGTACAGCAGACAACGAAAACGATGAGAATCTGCCGTGTGATATTCCACAAGTCCCCGATGATCCATGTGAATGGGTCGACCTTAAGAAGTTGCGTCCGGCTGACCCTAAAACACTTGTTCTAAAAAAGTCTGCTTGCAAACCAGCAAAATTACTACCTCAAGTAAGTATCAAATTTTGAGTCAGTTTTTGTACCTTTCTGTTTTCGATCACCTGCTCAACTCTGTACAAAGTTTTTTTTCCGATTCCTATGGAGCTTGTTCCATTGACCAGTGAAGAGAAGATGGACGTACCACTTTACGATAGTGTAAATCCAAATATACTAATCGGGATGAAGGATGACTTTAAAATGAATACTGCGTTTATACATGAAAGCGTGAGTTTGTCTGTTGAATGACGAATTTTGCGTTGTTAACTTTAATCTCTTCTTTAGGGCGCAATGTTGTTGGATTTGGTTAATGAAAGAATTATCAACGAATTCACAACAAAAGAAATTGTAGCTGAAGTTACAAATATGATGCGGACGTTAAGAGATGCTGATGGAACTACAGGTATTGTTTCCTTGGTGCTTCATCTTGTTGCAAATGAAGGTAAACAGTCATCTTTTAGTAAACGGAGGAGCTCAAGGAGATGGGGGAGATGCAACACTTGTAGGAGAAGCACAACAGCCTGCTGAAATAGTTCGGGATGAAGAATTTACGCATCAAGACGTTCTTTCTAAAAAGGGGCCTTCAACACAGTTGTTGCCTGATGAAATGGTTCCTTTAATTCTTGAGAAACCTGCCGAATTATTTCCAAGTGACGACGAAGGAAATTTTGGCGGTGGCGATGGCTATAATGATATGGATATTGAAGAATGCGGTCCGCCTCCTCACCCAGTCAGTTGCATTACCGTTCTATGAGTAAAAGTCTCGGGGTTTATTGTTATGTTCCCATGTTTAAAGTCACTGAAGCGTTTGAAGAGATCTGTTCATTAAAACTGTTGAGACATTAATTGCTACTTTCGTAAGTCCATGTTACTTATCTTTCAGTTGCTTATTCTTTCAGGCAGACGAGGAGGGTTTTGTTGATAACGATATCGATGAAGTTGACATCTTTACAGAATTCAGTTATCGAGTGCTTCCACCGAAGGTTTTCAATCAGATGTTGAGAAAAAACTTTTTTCAAACATTTACCAGCTTTTACTCTGTACGAAATGATAATTTTGCCCTAACACGGCTATATTAGCTTTGCGGATTTTTGTACACTTGGCACCTTGCAGGTTATAAAGCCATATAACTTAGCCAGCAGCTTGATACAAAGGCAAAAGAAAAAACTGCTCTCGTTAGGGTTGAACCCACAAACCTCATTCATGGATTATTTGCACAACGAAGTTTATCGTAATTCAGTCAAAATACCGTATAGGAAATATGATGCTGGCTTCAACTGCGCACCGTTGATAGCAGTTTCTGAGTTAGTTCTAAGCATTGTAGCAATAACTGAACTTCTAAGCCTGGTTTTTTAGGGGATAACAGAAGGTCAGGTTTCACAAGAAGAACTTTGTTTGGAAGGAAGCACTTATAGCAGAACTTTTCTTTTTCAGATTTATTAGTAAGGAGGAGAAACGAAGGAATGCTTTCAAAAATGCTTTGCGCAAACAACGTAAGAAAGTCTCCATCGTGTTTTTTTTTTTTCAAGGAGAGGAGAGAGGGGGAAAGAGAAAGAATAAACTGTTTCTAAAACTGCTGCTTTTCAGGTAGGTTGAATAAAGAAAAACAAGTAGATGAAGAAGCAGCCGTTGCTGAAGAAGAATTGGTTGTTGGCGCTGGTGACGATTTCGCTGACGACGTTTCCGAACCGGAATTCAATGAATTTAATAATGGTAACGTTTTAAATGTTTAGATTACTTTTTTGGTAAAATTCCAGTTTAGTTTGGGGTGATGGAGAAGTAAAAAACAATAGGAGGTCCCGAGAAAAATGTGAAAAGCAGAGGTTTTTATTGCTTTTTTAAGATGTGGCCGAAGAAGAAGTTCGGTTTGGAGAAGTCATTGACAATGAAGACATGGATTCGAATTTCCGAGATGTTATTCATGGAGGCTCTGAAGTCAATGATTCTGTTGTTCCTACTGAAGAAATGAGCTTCAACGCTCGCCTACGCCATTATTTAAATTTGTAAGCAAGGGTCTCAAAGTATTATTCGTCAAGATAATGTGGGTATCTTACTTTTAAAAACTAACCAGTAACTCCTTAGGTACTGGGCTGAGGGAGAAGAAATACATTCAAAATTGGATGAAAGAGTTCAAAAATGGGATGAGACTGTTACGCCTTTACTCGAGGAAGAAGAGCGGAGACGTGTGTTTGACATTCATGATTACGGTTCAGAGTTACTGGCGAAATTTGACCAGTGCGGTCAGCAGAGAGGTTTCTTCGAAGTCAGTTTTACTTCAACTCATTCTCAACTGGTCGTCATGTCATTTCAGTGTCGTACTATTTCTTTGTTTACTCAAAACAAATTACTTTTCCCATTTCAGTTGATTCAGAAAGTTCCTGATTACGAAGTCAGCCGCTATTTCTTATCTTCTTTGATGTTAGCCAACACGTATAACTTGGAAATTACTTTCGACGACGATGGGTTTCAAGGAGGAAATGAAATGGACGACCATTGTTTAGGAGAAAATTACCGGTTAAAACTTTTAAAACGAGATCGCCATCATGAAGCAATTGAACAGTCTGTGACTTCTTAATCCCTCCGGAAAAAAAAGGCCATAATTAATGACCACTGCATATGCGGGACATTGGTGGAACAGGGTGTCTCCATTCCTCACCCCATCAAAAACTATATTTACTTAATCTGACGACTGCTTTAGTCGTGTGGCTCGTCATTCCTGTAATTCTCGCAAGTTTTTTCATTCCATGATTTAAAATACAAACTCCACCTAGGTACCATAATTACATTAACCGTTACTAATAACCCTGTTCTATCATAACCATGTACAGTTGTATTTAAGGCAGAAGGATAAATCTGTAAATCTGATCAAACTCTCAGGTTCTAATTTCCTCAACCGCCTTCCCGAAGCAGATGGAATGTATCACAAACTCGGAAAGGCGAGTACTAAATGCAACAGCTTTAGCAGATTGCAACACACGAGGGTGGCGAATCGAGCAGAAAATTCTTTCCTAAGAAAGACAAGCAGTTTCAAAAAAGTTTTGGGCTGCAACTCTACATTCCTATGACAAAGATCATAAAGCAAAAAGATGTCCGAAGGTCACTGCAGTAACGGTTGCGTGGAAACTGCCGGTTCTTTCTAAAAACGATTGCCTTCTGGCTCAAAAGTAGACTTTGAGAAAACATTTCCTATTGTTTAAAAGTAACCTCATTGCATATTCCGATGAATTACTTATCAAATACGAAGGCACCATAACACAAACTCATTTTTTATCTTACATTCGTCATAATTCTACATTTAGCTGAATTTGCAATTCATAACGGTTCACCTCAACAACAGTGAGAACAACATGGACGAGTTCAGTGGGGGACGCCCCACAGCCAGAAGAGTGACAGTTTAACTACTACGACTAATTGCAAATAACAAACTAAACATCTTTTAGATAGTTTTTCCTAGTAATTGGTTCCTCTTAACTTACAGTCGGGTTTGAGGTTAGTGGAACAGCGAGTTAGCTCATGAACTGTCTTCTTTCTCAAGCTAATGTTTAGTATTTTTCTTGTCAGCTGCAGAATCTACTGTAGAAGCATTTGTTGCAGCGCTGGTTACCTTATGTTTTGAGTCAGGCCCACTTTTTGCCGGAGCATGTTTGTTTGAGTTACTTGGGGTACTTTGTACTTCTTTGGTAGCGTTTCCTGATGCTTCTGCATCTTTCTCAAACCTGTGTAGTTCAAACAGCTTCGCTATCTGAAACAAAACAATACAATTTTTTTTAACTAGCACTTCCTATACCACAACTAATGTTATCAATGTCGAGTTGTTCTTCCATTTAAAATAATTCTGCTTTGTATTACTAAAAATAAGAACCTCTGGATACCTCTTTGAGATCTTTTTCATCATGTTCCTTGCCATCAGCAATAACGTGTCTTGCGACATCCACCCCATAACCAAAAACGTTAAACAACACAATCCCAACAACTGTTTTGTTATGTAAGTAAAATACCACTCCGCGGTCTGTGGCCTAAAAGTTTAAAAAAAGTAAAATATCACTGCTATTTGTATTATCGGCAGACTACTTAGGTATGCCAAATCTTTACTTTTACGTAGTGGTAAAATTCTTATTTTTTTGAGAGGTGCCAACTTACTTTCCCGTCGTCCGATGCAAAAACTGAGACTGTCGGGAGTGAAGGTTCTGTTCTACCAACACCTTGGAAGTAAATCCCTGGAGCTATTGTCGACTGATAGGCAGCCTGATGCCAGTAGTGCTTTTGGCCTTAAAATAACAGCATTCTCCAAACCAGCAAGTTTTGCGACCTCGCAGGAAAAAACTTCAGAACTCACCTCCAGTCATGTTCTCACCCGCCAACCTACCAGTGACCTGAGCATCATCCCAGAGGTCAGCTCTTCTCCTACCCAGTCGAACATCGTAATAACTACAAGCAGCGCCAGCTACCCAAACATCAGTTCGAGCTCTTAATTCAGCATCAACAAGAAACCCGCCTTTTACCTGCAAAAAATCAAGAAAAATTAATTTTTGTTTGGAAAAAACACAACCCGAAGTCCCTTATGACAGATGCAGTTAAGGGACATGAGCAGGTCTGTTAAATTACCTAGTGATATAATTGTCTGACTGTCATTCAAAAAGTATCTTAAGTAAAAGACGTAGACAAAAAGTTAAAGGGTTTTTATAAAAAAGGTCAAGGGATTCACCTTATCAACCTCAAGGCTTGATGCTTCTGCTATTTCTGTGTTTGGTTTAACATCACTGATAACAATGACGTAATCACTGGCTAATTTCTCTAAATAAGACTAGACTGTATGAAGATATAACAAATTTATTTCATCAAAAAAAGCTCAAAAAGTAAATTAACGAGAACATATAACATACCTCCAGAAGCAAAATCAAGTTCCACCTCTTTATTCTTGTTTAACGTTGCTTTCACGGGGGTTTCTCCAGTAACTATGTTAACGCCATTATCACGTAACCTGTCAGTCGCCATCTTGCTTAAATACTCAGGCAAAATCTCCCCCACGATACCCTTCTGCTTGAAAACCTACAATAAAAATGATAATCACAGCACCATCACTTCGCTTTCGTTTCATTCATAAACCGCTAAAAAGTTTATATAAACTAAATGTCATAACGTGACTTACGGTCACTATTTAGCTTGTAGTGAATAGTGGAACTGACACACTACGAGTAGTAAATAGTAGATGAAGTACGGTAAATTAATCAAGTACCTGGTTAACTTTAAGTCCCTTTTCACCAAATTTCCGGTTAAGTGAATAGGCAAGTTCAGAAGCCAAGATATTACCTCCAACGACAGTGATAGACTTAGCATTTTTAGCTATATCATAAACTTTTTTAAAGTCATCTACCTGAAACTTTCAGAAATACATAAGTGATTA